GAAAATGCGCAAAAAATAAAAGAAAAAACATCTGCCATATATATATATATATATATATATATATATTTTAACAAGGGAAGTTGTATTTGTAAAAGGAGAGAAAGATAAATAAGGATTGATCCATAATATTACATATTTTGTATGGCGCAAAGCACTATATATTATATAATATATTGTTGTCTAAAGTATAATAAACTAAAGTGTCCCCCTCATTCTTGGTACAGATAGATAACTACAATTATAGAAAACCCACTTGTTCTAAGGACCCAACGATAGTGCTTTCCAGCTTCAATTTCAGGTACATATATATAATTTATTATTATTATTATTATTAAAAAAATTAATTGAAGTGTAGTTGAATTGGTTTACCTTGTTGGCATTGGGAACGAGTTCTTGCAGGGCCTTCATTCTCTCTGCGATTCTCTCCCTCCGTAATCTTTCGGCGATGCTGTGTGGGTCGGTGGCTTGTCCTCTCCTGGCCCTGACCTTGTGTTTGGGCGGAGCGGAAGGTCCGAAAGTGTGAGTGTGAGGGTTGGGAGGTTGGGGAGAGGCATTAATATTGTAGAGAGTTTGGTGAAAGGAGAGGGGCATGAGAGCGGAGGCGGAGTGGTCGTGGGGGTCCCAGAAGGAGGAAGGAGGGAGGTTTGAGAGCATTTGCTTGAGGAAATCGTCGTTGGAAGTTTGGTCCAACTGGATCTGCGGTGGAGGGCCTTGCATTTGCATTTGCATTTGCATTTGCATTTGTGTGCTGCATGAGATGAAGGTCAGAGTAACTAAATGAATGGATATATATGCTATTGCTGTATCATATATCTTCTCTCTCTCCGCGCTTCTCTTCTTTCTTTGCATTTCTTATTATATAGAGTAATATATATTTTTCTTTTCTTGGTCCGCAAGACGCCAAAAAACCCTCCCATCTTCCCCACGATCTTCTCACACCTGGATTGCCCACGCCACGTGTCGCCTGTCAGTTCCACTTCCCACTCAACCTTCTTTTTTTTTTTTAAATAACCAACATTTTTTTTCATTTTCTCCAAACAAACAACTATTCAGTTATACTACTATCTCCCTCGCTCTATAATTCTTTTTTTATTCGAGAAGGAAGAATATAGAGATCAGCATTTAGAAAAATATGTTATTTTTTCAATAAATTAGTAAAATCAAAGGATGTTAACTATTTTTTTATTTATTTAGTACTTAGTGTGTCATCGGTAAATGTCTCATTAATTAATACAACTTATTGATAAATAAAATAACTAAATTCTTTTTTCAAAAACATTCTTATTTTGGACGAACGAAATATATGCTAGATAAAATTCTAAAAAAGTTACTTTTTTTTTCATTAATAAAGAGTTTTTTTTGTTGAATATGGAAAAAAATTTCATTCCACAATTTAATAGACATCAAATAGGTAAGCATTTTCTCTCAACTTAAATTTTTTGTATTTACAATAATCAAAATACAAATCTTAGTTAAATATTACTTCAAATACATGTTAAAGATTATTAAATGAAAATATGAATGTAATTTTTATAAAATGTAATTTGTCATGTATTTTAATGGAAAGAGAGAAAATAATAATAATAAATATACATTAAAAATGTATTTTCTTATATTTACTAAGAGAAAAATTAAAGAAAAAAAAAGTTGACTTGCACATAAAAATTTATTTATTCATTTTTATTTTTTTCACTTTCTCTTTAATTCAATTTTTTAATTCTTTGTCTATTTTCTTCTTTCTATCCAAATAGTCAAATACAATAATATTTTATAAAAATCATTAATTAAGGTTTCAAAATAAGACAACTTGCAGTGATAAGGTTTTCTAAATGGTTTGGGAGGGGGAGATAAGGAGAGTGAGTTTGAATTCTCCTGATAAGGAGAGTGAGTTTGAATTCTCCTGCTAACAATACAACTAACAATTAACATTTGTTGATAAATAAAAAATAAAAAAGAATAACACAACTTAACTTTTCATTTTTTAATAAAAAAAGCGAGTCATCCCAATTTTACACATGTTTTTTGTAAGCAAAAAAAAAAAAACACAACTCAAGTCAAAACATATTAGTGAGTAAGTTCACAATTTGACACATTTAACTAAAAAATAAGATAAAATAATAAAAAATACAAGAAAATGTAATATATATATATATATATATAGTATGGTTCAAACGACATCGGTATAACTTTTACTAAGTGTTAC